AGAAAAAACGTCATTAAATATTAGATGCCCTTATTTCTTATATTAGAGATAGCAATTGTCTCTGACTATCCAACATGAGTAGCTATGGCGTATAACCGTATGCTAATCTAAACTTAATTATTTATTCAATGTTTCTTTTAACTTATAGACATATTATTTTTTTCCGGTCCGGTATCCTAAAAAATTGTGCGTCTTGATTGGCTATTTGAGCGGGCGATATTTTGTCAGTGGAGAGTTTTAGATTGATTTTTTTTCTCCCCGCAAACGGCAAACGTGACCAGGTTTTCATAGTTTTCCTGTATTTTACTTTACCTTTTACAAACCTTCTCACCAAGCGCAAATGCTCTTTTGTTTTTCTACTACTTGGACTTTTTTGCGATTCTTTTTCAGTAATTTAAAAGAATTTTTTACTGGTCAACTGACGTTTCACGTTTGCCGTGAACGTAAATCTAAAACTCTCTAGTATCTGCCCGCGCGTGCGGTCCGGTGTCCTTAGCCGCTAAACAACAAAACAAAACGATTACAAAAACAAGTAAAAATATACGGGAAAAAAAAGCTATTTACCGTCCTATAGTCGTATATTCAAGACCTCGGGGACAGTTTTTCCCTATCCGGACCTACTGGCCGGTAAATAACATCTATATACTATTCATAAAGAATTAACACTAATTGATATTGATGTTGATATTATCTAGTTGTAATATTGACAATTATTCGAAGGCGAAGTGATTATTGGGGAATATTTACCGAGACGCGAGTAAAAATATTTTCATAAAGTATAACAAAGAATGTACTTGCTTGGTAAACATTGCAATGAATAGAGTGATTAAATTAAACCCGTGAAACACGAACTAATAGCTCAAATGTAATAGCAAGTAGACACAAAAGTAACCAATGAAATTGGAATTGGAATGTCCAAGAACCTCTAGACAATACTAACTATTCCACGGATTACGGATAAAAGTATAAATAACCTTTGTTTTCGATCCAAACTTTTTCCGCTTCGATCGATAACTTCTTGATGCTTCTTTCAAGTCCCGTTTGTCTTTTAGCTCTAGCTCTGCAACAAAAATTCATGATTAAAATTGGCTTTCTTTATCAACCACCATTTGATTTAAATTATTGTTCACCTTTTAACTCTTTTTTGTGTGTCGTGTTCAATATCCAACAAATAAGTAGCAAATATTTGGGTTTTTTTCTTGGAACTGAACTCTGTGGAAAAAAA